TACTCAAGATCGCTTAGTTAGTAAATGGCGGAACAGGGATTCAAACCTAGAGAGTGCTAGCTCCAGGGCCCATGCTACACTGGCCTTCAAGTTTAGCAGAGGGACAGAACGTAATCAGAGTATTAAAACACTGGAAAGTGCTACAGTAGAGGCGAGTGTGAAATTCTTTCCCAATGTTGAGGAAGTGCCCTGGAAACATTAAAAAAAATTTTCCACAAGGAGGAGATATGGTTCACATTTTACCTGAATATTAAAATTTGACTAGAAGTTTGAAAATCATTAGTTCAGTGTCAAGAGATGCAGTGGATTGGGCTGTTTTAGAGTGGAAACCAGGTCTCTCTGCCTTTTAATACTGTTAGTTCCTTTTTTATTCAGAGGGGTCTTAAAACCTTTCCTCTTAGGAGGGGTCCTTAACATCTTCCAACAGACTCCCCTTAACCTTTTTGGAGATTCTGCTTCACACGGAGGCAGTCTTCTTCTCCTAAAATCCCTCCACCTCTGATTGTGGGAAAATAACTGCTGGGAATTTTCCCTGCTGTTGACTCAGCGGGTTCTCAAAAGGAGGTGCTCTCACTGCTTGACACGTGGTAGCTGCTCAGTTAGTACTTTTCAAATAAAATAACGAAATAACCAGTGTCAATCAAAGAGGGACTGAGAAGGCTTGATTTGAGGTTTTTGCTTTTTTCCCATCTCTTTTTAGAATCAAAGAATCACAGAATGTTGGTACTAGAAGAAGCGTTACATACCCAGTTTTTCAATTTCATTTCACAGATAAAAAAAAAAAATCGTGGCTGAAATTGAGTGACGTGCTTCAGGTCACTGAAGTGGCAGAGGGGAGACTAGACTCCTGACTTGACTGATCCAGGGCTTGTCTCACTGCCCTTTACTGTAGCCCCACAGTCTTTGACTTTTGAAGTAAGTGGCTTCTCCACTGGATTGGGGGTGGGGGGGCTTTGGGCTCCAATCTTATCTCCTGTGGAAGTATTTTTACCCCAGGATGCTTAATCCTTTGGAGCACCTGCCCTCTTTCTTTGTGCATTGTCATGTCTCTCTGAAGTCTACTCAATCACTGACATTTTTGTTCTTCGTGATAATCTAGGAGAACAATGATATTCTTTCATTCAGACTTAAAATAGTCATTTGGTTAGGGAAGGGATATTCCTGGGTTCCCCTGAATCCAGAGTATGAAGGAAGTAGTCTGACAATTTATGGGTGCTCTTTCTCCTCTGTGCCTCAGATTCCTGCCCTTCCTCAAGATAAGAGTCCCCAGGAGACAAACCAGTGTTACTTGTGTTCCTAACAGCTTGTCTCTGGGTAAGTGAAATCTAAGTGGGGAACCCAGGATGGGTTGTTATAGGGGTACTCATTCAGCAGTGGCAGCAGACCTATAGTGGGACCCACCAGTGACCACTGTACCTAGACCCTTCAGACTGAAAACACAGAGCCACCCAGAAATGGGACCGTCTTATTCAAATCAGAATGAGAATGGCCTATTGTGCAAGGCGGCTATGGAGTAATTTAATTGATGTTAGGACAGATCAGAGTGCGCTTATTTCTTACCACATGTACTTAACCTGTAGCAAAACTAGCTATCCCTCTCTGCAGTCATCTGGTGGGACACCTTGAAACCAACTCACTGAACTTCTAAGTGTAATGCCTTAACGGTATAGTGGTCAGATCAGGAAAACTGATACTAAATTATTGGAAGACCTATTGCAAAGATGATTAAATGTTTCCTTAGAGAATATGCAATGGGCTCCTGGCTCTCTTTGGAACAAGAGCCTAAGTAATCACAACTGTCATTGGTACTGGCCATCAGAAAACAACATGGAGGCTGGATATCTGTTAAACTAGGTAAGGGTAGTACTGGGTGAATTGGATTTTTAGATTATGGGAACTCTGTGAATAGATCGTGACTATGTCCTGAAAAATACAGTCTAATATGTACACATAATATATGTACCTATGTGTGTCTATGCATTGAGAGATGCCTAGAAGAAAGTTCATCAAAATACCAACCATTGTGGTGGTAAGATTTCAAGTAATTTCATTTTTAGACTAAGCGTTCCAGAATGAACATGAATTCTTTGTATGATAAAAAAGAAAACCTTGTTATTTTGGAACAATAAAAATAAAGGAAATAAAAGTGTGGTTAAGAGTTTTTTTTTTTTTTTGGTTTGTTTTTCAAGATTTTATTGGGGAATTGGGGGAGGGACCAGCCAAGTTGTTGTTCTTCAATCTTCGTTGTGGAGGGCGCCAGTTGCCATCTGGCTGCCCTTCGGTAGCTCGTGGCCTCTAAGCTCAAGGTGCTGTGTTCAGTCTTAGTTGCAGGTGGGTGTAGCCACCATCCCATGTGGGAGTCGAACCAGCAGCCTTGTTGTTTGTTTTTGTTTTTGTTTTTAGCTGAGACACCCTGCCACCTGTTGGCAGCTCAGCTCAGGCTGGGCATCGAACCGCTGTTGCTCAGAGCTCAAACTCTTGAGCGAGCTCTTAACCAACTGAGCCACTCGGCCGGCCCAGCAGCCTTGTTGTTAAGAGTGCACACTCTATCCCTGAGCCACCCGGGTGGCAGCTCAGCTCAAGGTGCCCAGTTCAGTCTTAGGTGCGGGTGGGCATAGCCCACCATCGGACAGGCAATCTTGTTGTTACACTAGCTGAGCCATCCTGCCACCTGTTGGCAGCTCAGCAACAGCTCAGCTCAGGCGCAGCATCACTGGCCCATGTGGGAATCGAACTGGTGGCCCTGTTGCTCAGAGCTTGCGCTCTTAAGCCAACTCTTAACCAGCTGAGCCACTCGGCTGGCCCTAGAGTTTTGGTTTTATGTTTAGCTGTTTAAACCACTTGAAGTTTATATCCATACTGGAAGTTTATGCACTGCATAGAGAGATGGGTTTAGGCAAAATAGTATGTTTAACAACCACTGTGGTACAGGACTGCCCAATTAGCTCAGTCTCTAACTGTAAACAATTTGGGCAGATAAACCAATGTGTACCAATTGATTCTCAACCCTTGTGTGTACTAACATGAATGATCTCTAAGACACATTCTTTAGTGAAAAAAAGGGCAAATTGCATAGCAGTACCTATATAGAATTTTATTTATGTAGAGAAACAAATGCTGTATTGTGCGTTGAAAAATATGTAGAAAGAAAACTCAAAGAATATACTCCAAGGAAGGGAATAGGTTTGTTTGAATAGGGTGGGGCAGTGATTGTTATAAAAATTACTATTTTATCTTACATATTTCCATATTATCTAAATATTTTAAAGTGAGGATATATTCATGTGTAACATGATTAGAAAACTGAAATATAATGGTGCCTCACAGAATAAGAATGTGTCAATGTCTCCAGCACCATCCTGTAAAATATTGCTCTGATGTGCGGTACGTGAATATCCATTTTGTGATTCCGTGTGTCTTTATTCAGAGAACCAGGGTTTCAGTGTTTGATGCCATTACAATTATCTAAGTATTCTACTCTCTAATTCTGTGCTTCCTAAGGAGTGTCCTGAAGACAATGATTTGGATTCCATATAATTTTTCTATAGTGGAGAGAATGTGTTAATCAGCTGGACATTGAGCATAAAAATTTTTCATTGTAAATTAGTAAAGGGAATTTGTTTTCTATATCATTCTCCTTGTGAATTTGATTAGTATACATCAGATTCTGAAGCATTTTTTTTGGCTTCAAAAGTGAGGGTCAGATCCTGGACCATGATGCTACAGTGAAGTTACTGTCCAAATAGGCGTTTCTTTTAAGGACCACCCATATCTCTTCTGTAAACAAAAAAGTGATATCTTCTTTTCTTTTTTTTTTTTTAAGGATTTTATTGGGGAACAGTGTGTTTTTCCAGGACCCATCAGCTCCAAGTCAAGTAGTTGTTTCAATCTAGTTGTGGAGGGCGCAGCTCAGTGGCCCATGTGGGGATCAAACAGGCAACCCTGGTGTTATGAGCACTGTACTCTAACCACCTGAGCTAACCGGCTGCCCCGATACCTTATTTTCTTTCAGTAAACAGGACGTTAGTTTTCAAACCTAGAGATTTTCCAGTTGTACCTAGTGGGAGAGCTATAGATGCTGAAATGTTTGGAGAGAGAGAAGGAGGTTCAAAGAGTCACATATCAAGGTGAGTAAGGAAGGATTGATGAAATGAACCTAGTAAAAGTTATAGCCTGGATCACCTTTGAAATCTTGGGAGAAAAACTCTTCACAATTATCACGAGTCTACCAAGATATTGCTTATAGGCAACCTAAGGAAATATAATTACTTTTCACTTATTTTTTGAGGAGTGAAGACTATAGGTGGGTAGTAATTTTCCCCAACACTTAATTTACCCAAGATTAGTATATTTATCTCTTTCACATTCTGCAATTGTTGATCAATGTGTGATCCTAGATTACTTGGATTAGTTTGTAGTATTTGAGTGTTTCAGAATCAATCATGTTAGGGAATTTTATAGATTTCTCCAAATCTGTCATTACTTAATCTCTTTCTCCCTATCACCTATTCTAACCTTTCCCCCAGGTCATGGTGATCCCCTTTCTCTATTATTGAGAAGAAGATAAAAATCAAGACTCCACACGCAGGTCCCCTGTTCTGCACAGAGGTCATTTTTCTTCGTGAGTGTTTTTTCAGGCCAGAAGACCAACCCTGATGGCACAGTGTCAGATGACTCAAGGAAGATGTGGAGAGTCAGAGTATGGTCATCAGGGGTTCACATTTGGAGAAATTCAAGATGCACGCTGAACAAGGAACAGGAGGGGAAATCCTGCAGGAATGATTGAGAGGACGGCACATGCACACATACAAACCTTTCCCAGAAGTGTTACGCTAACGATAGTCATCTTTGGCAAGTACCTTGTAAGTATCATGAATGTGAGAGAAAGTTTCCTCTAAACCTGAACCTATTGGACAGATGCTCCTTCACTGTGATACAAGCAGATGAGTTCCAGCCAGATGCCACTGCAAATGAAACATCAGAGACTTAACATGCAGAAGAAACCTTACAAGTGTGGTGAATGTGGAAGACTCTTTACTCAGAGATCATCTCTTACTCAGCATCAGAGGATTCACACGGGGGAGAAGCCCTATGTGTGCAGTGAATGTGGAACTTGTTTCCGTAAACAGTCAAACCTTACTCAGCATCTGAGGACTCACACGGGAGAGAAGCCTTATACATGTGATGAATGTGAGAAAGCCTTTCAAACAAGAGCCGTCCTTGTCCAACATCTGAGAATCCACACGGGTGAGAAACCCTATAGATGCAACGACTGTGGCAAAGCCTTTTGTCAGAGCCCATCCCTTACTAAACACCTGCGGATTCATACTGGAGAGAAACCTTATAAATGCAGCGAATGTGGCAAAGCCTTCAGCCAGAGCATATGCCTTACTCGTCACCAGAGAAGCCATTCTGGAAATAAACCTTATAAGTGTAATGAATGTGGGAAAGCCTTCAATCAGAGTGCGTGCCTCATGCAGCATCGGAGAATTCATTCAGGAGAGAAGCCCTACACATGTAATAAATGCGGGAAAGCCTTCACTCAGAACTCCTCCCTTGTTGAACATGAGAGAACTCACACTGGAGAGAAACTTTACAAGTGTAGTGAGTGTGAAAAAACTTTCCGCAAGCAAGCACACCTTAGTGAACATTACAGGATTCACACTGGAGAGAGACCTTATGAATGTGTCGAATGTGGGAAACCCTTTAGGCACAGTTCAGCACTTGTTCGACATCAGAAGCTTCATGCCAGAGAATAAAACTTGGGATATAACCAGTGTGGAAAGACTTATATGAAAATGCCATTTTTTCTAAGTTCCTAGGAGTTTAAGACTCAGTGTTCAAACAGCTCAACCTGGAGCTGGGCTGCCGTGAGTCGCCGGCAATGGTGCAGGCTGCAGCCCTTGCTGCAGTGGGTTGCTACGGGCTACTGTGTGTAGCCAGCAGCCAGCGTGAGTGGCCAGCAGCCGCAGTGAGCGGCCATCCAGAAACCAGCAACTGATCTGCCTCGCCCGGTTAGAGCACCATGATGGTGCCAACTTGGGCCAGTGAAGCAACGTCCTCCACAACTAGACTGAAGAACAAAATGANAGAGCACCATGATGGTGCCAACTTGGGCCAGTGAAGCAACGTCCTCCACAACTAGACTGAAGAACAAAATGACAGCAACTTGTCTGTTCCCCCTCCTCCAATTCCCCAGTGCTGTTCCCATCCCCCAATAAAAATCTTAAAAATAAAACTCAGTGTTCAGCTGGGATGAATGTTTTGTATGTTTGTAAGTGGCAGTGTGACCTAAAGTTAAGAAAATAGACTCATTACTAGACAGCCTTGAGCTTGATGCCTTCTCTGCCACTTGATGTGTGTGTGAGACCTTCTCCTCTGAGTCTCAGTTTTCCCCATCCCCTTCCCCCCAAAGAATAGTGAGGATACTTGCTAGGGTTGTCTTGAGAATAAAATGAGATGTATATAATAAATGTCATTAATTGGTTTTGAGTTGTAGATATTCCAAAAGTTTATAAATGTGGCTATTACAAACAAGCAAAGTTCAGCATTAGTATTTTTTGGTTCTCATAGTGTATTTTTTCTTATGAACATTCTTTACATTCCTGTGCCATTGCCATCTCCTAAGATTCTGGCCACTTCTGACTTTACTGTGCTGCTCTCCCTTCTCTTACAGAAACCCCAGTACTTATAGAGAAACCTCTCCTTCAGATGGTCCCGCAAGTAAGTGAGAAACAGATGTGGTTCAAGGACAATTAATTATTCAAGGAAAAAGTGTGTCAAAATAAATTCCACAGGGAACAAAGTTTAAAATGTAAAAATAAAAACAAAGAGCAAAAGAATATAGGTGATTCTCCATCTGATACAGAAGTTGGTAAACAGAACAACAAAAAAAGACATTATATAATTTACAAATTATAAGAAAAATATGGGTAAACGAAAATGAACAAAAATTCCAAAAAACACAAAATAGCCTGTTAACATATACAAAACAGTTTAGTTTCCCTGGTAAAAAAAATGCCAATTAAATTTGACTATTAAACACCATTTTCAATACATCAAATTGACAAAAATGAAACGGCTGGTTCCAGCCCATGGCTGGTGCACTGTTAATATGGATGAGCTGGAGTGGGGTCTTGTAGACGATAAATGAATAAGACAGTACAAACCTCTCTAGAAAGCAGTTTGAAAGTAAGCATCAAAAGCTTTAAAGATATTCAAATACTTTTCACAATAGATGTAAATCCAATCATTAAGCTGATGCCTTAAACTTATACTGTGATGTATGCAAATTATTTCTCAATAAAACTGGAAAAAATAAGTCTAAGAATTAAAGAAAAAAATACTCAAATATTTTGATCCAGTAATTCTGCTTCCATTAATTCATCCTAAGGAATCATCAGAAATACATTTTGAGGTTTCTGTACAAGCATGTTTGACCAGTCTTACTTAGGCTGCACGCAGCAGGAACCTGATAGAGGCTTAAATAAGAGGGTGTTTATTCTTCTCATGTATCAATTCCAGGGGTTGGCAGCCCAAGGCTGGTGCAGCAGCTCTTTCTGGCATGCCATAGGATCCAAGGTCCTTGAGTCTGTCCACTGTACCACCCACAGCTAGAGGCTGCCTTCCTTATGCCTAGAAATGGGCCAAGGTTTGGTGTCTGTGCCCCAGACAGGATGAAGACAGAAAGACAAAGGTTCATGCCTGCCAAATCTCTGCTTTTGTATCAAAAAACCTAGTAGTGGGGCCGGCCGCGTGGCTCAGTTGGTTAAGAGCTCACTCAAGAGTGTGAGCTCTGAGCAACAGTGGTTCGAGTCCCGGCCCGAGCTGAGCTGCTGCTGAGCTGCTAACAGGTGGCAGGATGGCTCAGCTAAAAACAAAACAAAACAAACAAACAAAAACAAACCTAGTAGCTTTATTAAGCAGACTTCCACTTGTATTGCTCTTTTTTTAGAGTTATTACTAAAGCGTTTACATTAGATTCTAACTTGTGTCAAGATCACTTGCATTAGATCCTTACTTATACAAGACCCACTTGTATCTCATAACTTGCCAGAGATGTCATACAACTACCCTTAGCAGGAGCTGGGGAAGTATTCATAACTATGCATATGATCATCTTCCCCACCCAAAGTGGGTTCCTAATGAAGTACAACGGGCATCTGTTTAATTACAAAATCCTCTGTAGCTATTAATGTCAGGTTTTTTAATTTTATCGACCTGGAAAAATGCTCACAATCTAATGTCAAGTGAGAAGCGGTAAGAGAACATACATAATACAATCTCAATTTTGTTTAAAAAATATAATTTACATACATCACGCCCACATGGGAAATAACATGTTAATAGTTAACGTCTATAGAGTTAGCATTTTAAGTCAAAGGTGTATTGAGGGATGGATATAGTTTTTATCTTACTAAATTTTTTTGTGTGTTTTTTATAATGAATTTGTAGTATCTTTATAATAGAAAAAAATATTATTTTTAAAAACACCCCATATACTCTTAAAGACTAAGTCCAAAATGTTTACACTTAACTAATTTTCATCTCCACTATCAAACGAAAGGAGACTACTGTTTTTGATTTGCTTTTGTGAGTTCTTTTTAACTAAGTCCTGTGTATTTATTTCATCTTCATTTGCCTTCTTCTTTTTTGAGCTTGCTCTTAAACCTGAATATTTTTCATCTGGGGAACGCTTGACTGGTTTTCGATACATGATTCTTCCATCAGTGGAAGCTGGTTCTTCATCTGAAGCAAAAACAAAAGTTAAAGAACTTTTTTTTCTCCTCATTATTTTGCCTTTATTGGAGGATCAAATGGCAAGAAAATCTCATACTGTATTTAAGAATGTCCTTGAGTCAACTCAGTCTGCTCTTCTCCACTGCCTCTAGCTAGATGCCTAAAGACACACAGTCACTTAAAAAAATTCACTTACTGAAGTATTTCATAATATTGCCAGTCTTCAATTACAATCAGGTTGTATTTTTAACTACTTTGAAAAGTGACTGTCTGGAACTGCAGCATTTTCCCCTAAAGCAAGTAATAAATATTTAGGAGTAATGAAAAATATACTATATAGCACTAGTTAGATAGAGCTCTGTTGACTAGTTTGTAAACCACCTTTTTTTTTTTTTTAGCTGTAGAGGGCACAGCTTACTGGCCCATGTGGGAATCGAACCAACAGCCCTGTTGTTCAGAGCTCGTGCTCTTATGCTCTTACCAACTGAGCTATCCAGCTGCCCGGCCACTTACTTTTTTAAAAACAGGGTTTTTTACTTAAATTCGCATTTAATCTTTTTAACAACCCCATATGGTAGACGCAATGTTTGTCTCCAATTTACTGATGAAGTCACTGAGGCTGAGAGGTGAAATAACTTGTTCAAGGTTACACATCTGTTAAGTGTTAAAGGCCATGTTTGAACCTAGGGCTATCTCCTTCAAACTTTTATATATTGGGTTGTCGGAAAAGTCATGACGTATTTTTTCTATATTTTTTGTTGCAAAAATGCGTCATGACTTTTCCGACAACCCAATAAAATAATTTCATACTCCAGGCGCCTTAAATTGTTAGAAAAGCCAGATTACTTTCAGACTTACCTGCTTTGGCAGCTTTTATTTCTGCTTTAATTTTCATGACTTCTTCAGCTGACAGGTCTCCCTTTTTTAAAATCACCACTTGGGGCTGTTCATCTTCTTTGTCACTGTGATCACCATCTTCATCTGGGAGCTGGGGCTGGATTCTCTACGGGAAAACACAAACATGATATGTAGGTTGCTGACATTGAACCAAATAACCACCACTGTCTTTGAGAAACTGTAATTACTAAAGCCAGAAGGGTAACTATATTGACTGTGTTTGGCAATGAATTTTCAAGTACCTCCTAAGAGCCTAACCTGTCAGGTAGGGAAGAAGTCTAGCTTCCAGTTATCCTGAGAAGCCTGTCCGACAAGATTAGTTTCCATCTCAGCAGCACCCCAGCTTGCAGTTTCTGGTGTCTGTGAGAGGCCCTCTGCTTCACAGGATGCCGGCGTTCCCAGCCTGCGAAGGCAGTGCTGAACCACATCAGTTCGTTGCTCTTCATCAACGCTTTGCATTTCCATCTCTTCTCAAAGTGTGCCAAAAAATAAGCAAGCACCACCAAAGTACAGAAAGCAGCAAGGTACTCATTCTCCCACCTCTGCTTACCTATTCTCCCTTCCAACAGCTTGTTTGGGAGGTATCCTTTCAGCTGTTTTCTAAGTGTATAAAAATATGGAGGTATCTAAAACATTATGTATATAAACAGGATACTACAGATGCTACTATATGATGTGCTTTCTTTTCTTTTTAAATTATGAAAAATTTCTCAAAATAAAGAAGTATGGAGAATAACATAACTGAAAGCATGTACTCAGTATACACATGTAACAAATTATAACATTTGGCCAATTGATTGAGATTTTTAAAAAATGTTGGGGGCCGGCCGAGTGGTGCAATGGTTAAGAACTGGCTTGGGACGCCAGAGGACCCCAGTTTGGATCCCACATATGAGGGCCAGTGACACTGCCCTCCACAGCTAAGATGCTGAACAACAGCTCAACCTGGAGCTGGGCTGCTATGAGTCACTGGTGACGGCGTAGGCTGCAGCCCCTGTGGCAGTGGGTTGCCATGGGCTACCATGTGTAGCCAGCAGCCAGCGTAAGCGGCCAGCAGCCGCAGTGAGCGGCCGTCCAGAAGCCGGCGACTGATCTGCCTCGCCCGGGAAGAGCACAATGATGGTGCCAACTTGGGCCAGTGAAGCAACGTCCTCCACAACTAGACTGAAGAACAAAAGGACAGCAACTTGTCTGTTCCCCTTCCCCCAATTCCCCAGCACTGTTCCATCCCCCCAATTCCCCAATAAAAATCTTAAAAAAAAAAAATGTTGGACACCATAAAAGCCTCACTCCCCTAACCTTTTATTCAAAAAATATCTTTGCACAATACCTTGAGATACATATGCAATTATCTATTTTTAAAAATCACTGCCTAGTATTATATATATGGTCATCTCATGGTTTATTTGACCAGTACCTTGTAAATAAAAATTTTGGTTGTTTCTAGTTTTTTTCTACTATGTTAAAATTTTGCATTTTTAATTCACTTTTGCAAACTTTTATGTTAAGTTCCTGACAGTGGAATTGCTGAGTTAAAAGGCATGCAACCCATTACACGTTATTCAAATGGCTTATCAGTCCGCCTCTCACAGAGCCCTCCTTGTCTCCCAAACAGGACAACGAAGCCTTGCAGGATGTGGCCTTGCCCTATAACCACAGCGTTATCCTCTACCACGGTCATGGCCTCCGGACTGCAGCCAGGTTTGAGTACTGCAGATCCATGAACATATTATCTCCTCGGCCTCCTCACTCTCAAAAGTTCCCAGTGCCTAGAAAACCCCACTGACCTTGACCAACTCCTCCTCAAGCTACCTTCTAGACTGAGAGCCTTTTAGAAGTGCTTTCCTGAGCTCACCTCTTCTTTCTCACCCTGGACATGGCTCTCACAGGAAGCATGTACCACAGTGTGTTATCAGTGTGTTTCTATCTGTCTCTACTAGGTGAGCTCCTCCGAGAGAGGACCAGATGTTTCATGTCTGTATCTAAAGGCAGAAAGCCTGGCAAACAGCAGGGACAAGAAACATTTGTTGATCTACTCGTGAATGACCCCGAGGATGAAAAATGATGAATTACCTGAAGCCCTGGCAAGTTTCTCACAGGCACATTCATCCAGTTTGCCTACATCCCATGTCTGCCAATCATAAGTGTATTCTTTTTAATGATATCCATGTTAGTTCACTAATTATTCAGTAGTTTTGCTTATTCTTCTCTAAAGTTCCCAATAAATGACCACAAACAAGTAGGTAATTAAGTATTTTTAGCCAAAGAAGTAGGAAAGTGAAATAAAATCATTCCTGGTATTCATTAGATTGAGAATCATTAATTCTGACTTTCTGTTTATGCAACTGGCCGGAAAACAAGAGAAACAGTCTAAAGAACAGTGGCAGCAACCACTTAGGACTTCAGAGTCACTTCTGAATTCACTCTCGAGGTGAATAAGATGAGTTAGCTTAATTATACAATGAGTTCTCATTAAACCGTTTCCCTTTTGTGAAGAGATCACTAGAATGATGATGATATTACCAAACCCATTAAGAATGAAGTTGGTTTCACAAATACAGGAACATGGGGTATCTCTTACAGAAAAGTCTCTTGATTAAATAGGTAAGCCCAAATCACTGATATTAATTGGAAAGCTTTTCCCTCCAGAATTATCCTAAGATAGCATTCCAAGCTGTAATCCTCGAGGTGTTAACTAGGAACACATGATCATCACTAGGACCTCAAGCAAACTATAAAATTAGGTCTCACTGCTGAATCCATGTCCCTTTTCTCAAACCTCATCCTCTTTGTTGTCATCACCATTTTTGGTTCTGGGGATGTCCCTCCCTGACATGTTATCTCCAACTAAAAATGGCTCCTTGTTGCCTACTGAATAGTCCATATGGCCTCACATCCATCTGCCCCTCAGTCATCTCTACATACAGTCCATAACTCACCATCTCTACACTTTTACCCATGCTGGTCCTTCCATCCCTACTTGCTGACCTACCCAGGCTCAAGATTCCATTTAAATATCCCCTGCCCCATGAAGCCTTGCTTGATGACAAGCATAGTCATCTAACCAATGTACCTTGTTGCCCACTATTCGATGTCAAGCACTGTGCGGGCTGCTGGGAAAATAGAGAGGGATCAAGATACTTAAGAGTTCGATGGGTGGTGGACACACACAGGAGAGCAAGTAATTGCAATACAAAATGATGAGTACTACAGCTGATGTATGGACAAAGTGAAAAACAAAGAAGTAACTGGGGGAGCTTGGAAAGCTTTATTGAGGTAGTGACCTCTGAAGGCAGAGGTGAGGCAGGCAGGAAGGCGCTAAAGGATATGGCATTTGGAGATCCCATCTCTTGGTCCTTTCAGAGCCTGGCACAGTATATGTGGGTTTTGCACATACCCACTGGATTGAGTAATTTCACGTGTCAGTCTTGTCTCCTCGACTAAGCTCTAAACGACTTGAGTCGTGGGTCTTAGTGCAAGTGCTGGACACAAAATGCTAAATAAACTCTTTATTTCTTCACACATCCCCTAAGCACAATAGTCTCTTCCTATTAGGTGGGGCAGGTTTTGATGTGAACCGGTTAGGGTGCAAGCCTGGGAGGGCTCAAAAGTTGACTCCCACCCATCCCATCCCATCCCTACACTATTCCAATGTGGCTCATTCCTGAAGCTTCTCTTCTACTACTCAGATCCAGGCTACTCAGGGATGTTGCTTACTTTTTTTTTTTTTCCTTTGTAACAACAAAGCATAGGAATAGATCCAGGGCATTTCTCCAAAGATGTTTCAGATTCAAGACCTAGGATATCGGGTCATTTGATCGAGTGGCCACAGTTTCTTTATCTGGAAAACGGGACGACGCTACCATCCACGCTGCTAACGATAGATTTTGGTATAAGCGAGTGAGAAAGAAGAGACAGGAAAGTGATCCTTCTTAAGCATTTACCAAGGACGAGGCGCTTTACCGGCGTCAAGTCATTTTCAAGAACACTGCAGCACTCTGAAAACGACAAAGAGCTTCCTGGGCGCAAGTGACAGGAGTGACTTGTCAGGACCTGGCCTCCAGGTCTACGCAGAAGCCGGAAGTGGCGGGGCGAGCCCCGTTTCTCGACCGCGAACGGCCTGGGCTCACCTTGGTCTCTACGGTGGGCCCTTCCCTGTAGCCGACCTGCTCTTTGAAGCGGGCCAGGAACGCCGGCTCGGCTGGCTGCACGTACGACACCTGGTTCCGCTTACTCATGGCCACTCACGGGAAAAAGTGGCTCCTCGGGGCCGCTTCGAGACTGTAGCGGCGACGGCGCCTACTAGTGACGCCATGTCGATCCCGCCCCCAGGCGTGAGGCCGGGCAACATGGCGACCTCCGTGCCGGCGTCAACGTCTTACCCGGGCGCCAAATTCAAATTCGCGGCCATCTTGAGCGAGCGGAATCCCGGCGCTCAGCGCGGCTGGAGGTGAGGGCATCGGCTGAGTTGCTCTAGGGGTCCGGAGGTGAGGGTGCCATGGCACCCGGCTGCAAAAGTAAGTACGGAGCCCTGGCTTCGTGACCTCGTCTCCGCCCCCAAATACGGCTGTGAAAGGGTGGCCGCCCCCGGCCGCCCTCGGGGTTCCCCGGTGGGCGTGAAAGGCAGTTGCGGATCGAGCAGCGTTTGGAACCTGTCGGTCCCTCAGACACTGACGGAACAGCTCATGTCCCTTCCGTCCGTGCATTGGGAGGACGCTAGAGGCCAGGCACAGTTGTCGGCGCTTGGGCTGAGCAGTGAGGCGGAACGCGAGCCCTCACCCAGGAGCTCGGCCGCTGCTTCCCCCGCGTTCGCGGTCCTGCCGTTTGGTAGCTGGCCTCTACCGGGGCTGCCTCTCTCGGTATCCTTGCCGGAGGGTCGGCCCTGGCCCTCTCCACCTTCTGCATGTTTCCACAGTTATTGACCTTCCTGAAGGGGAGAACTTATCCATGTTCGAAGCACGTCTTTCTCTTTGGAGGGCTCTCTATAAATTCTCTTTGGATAAGGGACTTTTACAGCACCGTTCAACAGTGTCTTTGTACTCTCACATTCCCTGTTTTCTCCTCAAGGAGACCCTTCCAATTTCTTCCTTTTTCCACGGAGAGGAGCGCTGTCATTTTTGCGTTTGATAAACCTCTTAATTTTTACTAATTCGTTGGCCCTGTGCTGTTCCTGTGTACTACAAGCCCCACCTCTTACATGGCCAAATCCTTTACGAAGTGTTGTTGTTTCAAAGCTCTCTGATGGATCTCAGTGAAGGGTATGGATGCTAATGAGGAGAGGTCCATGTAGAAGATTGACGAGATCCTGAGCTTTTGGTATTTGAGCCTTCCAACCGTGTTAATGGTTCTAGCTGTCAATAGTAATTCTCTTCTGATGTGTTTGCGGTTTCATTAACCTTTTGGGCCAATCATAACATTACCTGAACACCTCCTGATGCTCTCTTTTTCCACCTAAAATGTTCCTTTTCTTTCACCATTTTTGGTATTCAGGACATATTAGCACACACATTGATACATTGTTGGTCCAAAATGTTCACGGTGCTTTCTGCACATCCACAGTATTTGTTCAGTAAATCTGGACTCAAGCAAAAGACTTGATGCCTGTGACATAGCAAAATGGTATATGCATGTGACTGTCCATCAAAGGACTCTGTCCAGCCTGTATGTGTCACTCTTTAGAAGTGATGGGAGCAAGGGGATTCACAATTCCTCTTTGTGATGGGGGTGATTTCCACGGGGGACTCTCCCACTCTTCTCATTGTGTTAGCAAAGTTGAGGTTGATGACATCTCAGGTAAGTGCCCCTGATCATTCTCAGCAGTCCAGAGACCTGGAGCACGAAGTGGGCACACAGGGGAGGAGAGAGCCCATGCAGTGCTCTCTGCGGCTTTTCCTTTTGGGTCCATGAAGGTTATTTCTTGTCATACCATTGGCACCTGTTGACTGGAATCAGAGAAATGAGAATGTGAAATGTAACCCTAATGAAATTGACTGAATTTAAGATTCCCTTTCTGAATTTAATCGTATTTGGTCAGATGACCCATAGGTATTTATCTGGGCTGCAGAGTAAAGCGTCGTAGCACTTGTCACTGACACTTCCTCAGATCTCAATTAGGAATAATGCCAGAGCTATTTACCTCCATGTAGTTTTTTATTTCATTTTATCTCACTATTGGCATATTAGTTCTGCTTTTTTTTTTTTGTAAACATTTCATTTTGGAATAATTTTAGATTTATAGAAAAGTTGTACACATATGCAGATCAGTATTTATCCAGTCATCAGCTCTCTCTGTGAACCTCTCTTCTCTGACTTTTTTTTTTTACCCTACAAATTCTAGCTGCCTTGGCTTCCCCAAACTCTGAACCATGCTCAGCTCAGCGAGACCACCAAGCTGGTATCTGGACTTGAGGCTCCAGGCGGTTAAGCTGACGCAATGTAATAGCTCACCTTTGTTGTTTCCCTTCTCTCAAGGTCATTTGATTGTGCTGTCTGTTGTCTAGTGTCTGAAAACTTGTTACGTATTTTTGCCCAGTTTCATAGTTATTTTAACACAGAGAGTAACGCCAGTCCCCTTTACTCCATGGCCACCCAGAAGCAGAAGTCTGGATCTGTTTTGGGTCATCTTTACCTGTAGGGTGTGGCCTTTCAGTCTCTCATTTGAAAGCGGAGGGCATTTATCAGGGCTCTGAGCCCCAGTTTTTGTTCCTCCAGTCTGCAAGTCTGTCAAAAACTCTGCTCAAATCCTCAGCCTCTTAGCTGCAGCTTTCAGAATCTGCAGTCTCTTCTTGGGAAAAAGCAGCCTCAAATGCTGTGTTCACTCCTTCAGGCTTTGGGCTTCTGTCCTCTCTTGGATTTTGGCTGCACAATTCCTGACTGCCTTCAGGGAGATGTTTTCTGTCGTTTTTCTGCTCTTCTAGTTGCTTTCTGGAAGGAGTGTTGGTTTGAAATAAACTAGGCCTTTAGTTCTGGACAGTAATAGTAAGAAAAGCCTTACTCTAATAAACTCAGTTTTCTAGGATTTAAAAAAAATATGTATTTGAGGAAGTGTAAAAGGTAGAAAGAAGATTAAAAGAAGTCCTATTAGCATAAAGAAAAGCTATAACTGCAACCCATGGTAATGTCATCTTTTTCTGCTACACTCCTTCCTGACTAGCAACTCAAACCCTGGTTCTGTTACTACAGGATGTGCAGGGATGACCTGAGCCTTTTAATTTCAAGTGGTTAAAAAAAAAAGCTTGTATAAAGTGTATCTTTTGCTGTCATCTTGAGGATTATGGTTTTTGTAGATGATAGCTATCTTGGTCTGATTTGCTGCTCTAACAATCATAACATAAACTGGGTAGCTGTATAAACAACAAACATGTATTTCTCCACAGTGCTGGGGCTGGGACGTCCAAGATCGTGGCCTTGGCTGACTTGGTATCTGGTGAGGGCCCGCGTCCTCCTGGAGGCCGTCTTTTTGCTAATCTCACATGGCTGGAGGGAAGAGCTCTCTCTCTGGGGTCTCTTTTCTGGACACTAATCCCAGTTATGAGGGTTCTGTCCTCATGACCTCATCACCCCCCAAAGGTCCCACCTTCTAATACCATCTTTTTGGGATTTAGGATTTCAACCTATGAATTTGGGGGACACACATTCAGACCATAGCAATGGTAAAATGATGACTTATCCATCATTTGCATAGAATTGAAAGGTTGACTGCATTCATCGACTGCTTTAAAAACAGCTGAAATTAGGGGCCTGGTTTGAACTACCCATAAAACCTCCAACACACCAGGGTACCTGTCTGACTAAAGCCTTTCTATATTTTGCTGACTTTTTATGCTGCTGGATATCTGACCCCTTCTCATATTATCTATTCTAATCTTAATTTTCTTCTTCCTTCAGCTCTTCATAAGGACCAAACTTCAGTTTTCCTAACATGAAAGCTTTTCTTTTTTATCCTGGCTTTCTCGTTTGTTTTCATTTTTGCTAAAGGTACAGAGAATGTTTCTTTGATGCCAGCTCTTGGGGGAATTGTGAAGGGCAGGTGGGGAATTGGGCAATCTGTGGTCTGTTTTCCGCCTCGTAGACAGACATTTGTTTCAGGGTACAGCTGGAAAGGGTGGTCTCCAGAAATCAAGTTGCTCCGTAGTAAATATTGACTTTGAGCTCCTATGCTATGAGCAGAGCAGAAGTCAAGAAGCCCCTTTTCTTGGTGTCCTTAGTATTCATTCAGTCAAAGATATTTACTTAGTGCTCACTATGTGTCAGGCATTACTCTAGGTAATGCTTCATGGTCAGTTTGAAAGAGGGTAAACAAATTAACATATATTATGATGGCAATAGTACTATGTTCTTTAAGGGAAAATAGGGCCAAGAAACGGCGCTGGGGGTGGGGACAATGAAAACCTCCTCTCAGGCACCTCTACTCATTTGCTGAGCATTTGTAGGAGTGGTATGCGCATGTGTGTTGCAGCCTAGGGCTCTCTTGACTTGCCTCTCCTAGTGGGGAACCACTGCCGCTGCCAGGACAGGGGCGATCAGGGCCACACATGGTGTTGTTAGCACACTGTGCCCAAGGAAGAGCCTCATTCAGGAGTGGGGGCTGGGGGGAGGAAGGGAGCCCCCACACCGCCTCAGCCATGCTCACCTGGGACTTCAGCAATAGGCATCTGGCTGGAGGCAGCCTGAGAACCTGAGAACCTCTCCTCCTGGGAAGGAAGTCCTGCAGTTGAGAGCTGAGGGGACAGGGATCGCTGTGCCCTTGACTGTGCACTTTGGCACGGAGTCAACTCGCTGAGCTGGGAGGGAGGGAGGGAGTGGTCTTGGTTCAAGAACCACAGGCTCTCACCTTTCTTATGGGATTTTCATACTTTCTTGATTTGTTTGTCTTTAGGCCATTTCTAGAGGCTTTTAAACTGTATTTATTTTTTTATTTCACTAGTTCCCACTGGGCAGTGGGTCAGTGGAGTTCCTCACATTGACATGCTAGAAGTTGATCTCTGACTTTTTATTCTAACAATCAAACTGCCAGCTGGGCTGAGAATGAGAGCTGGGGAATGAGGGAGTGAGAGAAGCAGGAGGACTGTTGTAATAACTCAAGTAAGGAATGCTGCCGGCTTGAGTCCATGGCGGCGGATTTGATAAGTTGTAGGACTCTGGGTGTACTTTGAAGGTAGAGCCAAAGATTGGCTAACAGATTGGATATGAAGTATGAGAAAGAAAGGGGTTAGGAGTGGCTGTCAGGTTTTGGCCTGAGCAACTGGAAAGATGGAATTGTCGTTGATTGAGATGGAGAAGCGTGGTGGGGGTGGGGTGATCAGGAGCTCAGTTCTGGACATATTAAATTTGAGACATTGCCTATCGGACATCTGTAATTGGAGATGTCAAGTAGGCAATTAGATATACGAGTCTGGGGCTCAGGTTTAAATCTGGGAATCATCAGCATATATATAGCATTTACAATGGTGGGACTGGATGTCATCACCAATGGATCAGGTTTGGATAGAATAGGCCTGGGCCCTGGAACGCCTCCTGTCAGGACGCCAGGAAGCTGAGGGGACTGAGGAGTGTCAGCAACTGAAGAGTAGGCTAGATGAGAGTGGGAATTTTATACCGCACTTAAAAAACACCCTTAATGACTTTTTATCTTTTTTACTAGATGAGTTGCGCAATGTGACAAATTGTCAATCTAACCAACCAAGGTAAGGAAAAGCCTTGTTCATGAGTCCAAAACAATGAGGGATGTAGTTTTCCTAAAGTAACCATTTAGCATAGTGAGAGGTACTTGAAACAAAGGGTGCTTGTTTCAGAATTCAGCTTGGTCCTTGGCTACCTGGAAATCTGGACATATCACATCTCCCCACGCCCTGCCCTGTCACCTTCCAGGTTAAAAGATGGAATCAGTAACATAATTCTCCCTTAGGATGACTCATTTTATTATTGCTATTAAGAGGGAAATCAGAGACAAGCAGTGCTCGGAGCTCCTTGAAATCAACCCCCTTGGAGTTGATTTCAAGTACAGGCTTGTAAAGGTGACTATCCTGAAGATCAGTAAGGGGGGTGGGCCATGCAGGACTCTCTTAAGAGAGGTAAATGTAAAAGGGGACATTGGGGCTTTGTTGGGGAAACTCTCAGTAGAAAAACAAAGGCAATAGGAGACTCAGATCCTTTTTTGAGTTTTCTTTTCTCCGGTAAACTTTGCTACATTTTCTGTCTTCAGTAATGAAGGTGATGCCATCAAAGTTTTTGTGCGAATTCGTCCGCTTACAGAGGGTTCTGGCTCAGCTGATGGAGAGCAAAACTTATGCTTATCTGTGCTCTCCTCCACGACGCTCCGGCTGCACTCCAACCCCGAGCCCAGAACCTTCACGTTTGATCATGTTGCAGGCATGGACACCACTCAGGTAATGATCATTCCGGAAACTTAGCTTTCCACTCGGAGCTTATAAGATTCTGTTATTTGTGAGGATTTCATTTCTGGTCTCTTTATAGTCTGATCTCAGATAAGGAATCTCAAACAGTCCATAAATATTTTAAATTTAATTTTATTAAATAGTATTTCTCCCTTCATTAAACTTTGTACCAGAATGACAAGCCTGCTTTACTGTCCCCCTCCATCCAGTGTTGGAGGTTACGGAAGGTGTACTTTTCAGAGCCACTTGGGTGATGGATAAGTGCAGCTGAACTGGCTAGTTTAAGGAGAAGGTCTTAGTCAGCTCTGGCAGGTATAACAAATATATCATAGACTGGGTGGTTTACATAAAAATACATTAATTTTTCACAGTTCCTGGAGGTTGGTAAGTCTAAGATATAAAGGCCAGGAGCTCCAGTCTTTGGCAAGACTCATTTCCTGGCTTGTAGACATGTGCCTGCTCACTGTATCCTCACTGGTGGAGAGATGGAGGAGGTGGGAGGGAAGGGGAATGGGACAGTGAGGGAGAGGGAGGGAGACCTAATTACCTCCCAAAGGCCCCATCTCCAAATGCCATCACATGGGGGATTAGAGTGTCACCATACGAATTTTAGGAGGGACACAAACATTCAGTCCATAACAGAGAATGATAGATTTAAGATTACTGTGGTGTCAATAACTGTTTTTCTGATTAGGGACAATTTAGTTAAGATCTAGTCAGCACTATCCAGTAGAACTTTCTGCAGTGATGGAAATGTTCTGTATTTGGGCTGTCCGTTACAGTAGCCTCTGGCCATGTGTGGCTATTTCAGTTAATTAAGATTAAATCAAATTTAAAGGTTTTTTTGTTTTGTTTTGTTTTGTTTTTTTAATTGGGGAGTTGGGGGATGGGAACAGCGCTGGGGAATTGGGGGAAGGGGAACAGACAAGCGGCTGTCCTTTTTGTTCTTCAGTCTAGTTGTGGAGGACGTTGCTTCACTGGCCCAAGTTGGCACCATCATTGCGCTCTTCCCGGGCGAGGCAGATCAGTCGCCGGCTTCTGGACAGCCGCTCACGGCAGCTGCTGGCCGCTCACGCTGGCTGCTGGCTACACACGGTAGCTCATGGCAACCCACTGCAGCAGGGGCTGCAGCCTACGCCGCGACTCACGGCAGCCCAACTCTAGGTTGAGCTGTTGTTCCGCATCTTAGCTGTAGAGGGCAGTGTCACTGGCCCTCATATGTGGCATCCGAACCCGGGCCTCTGGCGTCCCAAGCCAGCTCTTAACCAATGTGCCACTTGGCCGGCCCAGATTAAATCAAATTTAAAATTCAGTTTCTCATTAAATCAAATTTAAAATTCAGTTTCTCAGGGCTGGCCGAGTGGCTCAGTTGGTTAACAGCTTGCTCAAGAGTGGGAGCGCTGAGTAACAGGGTCACCGGATCAATTCCTGGCCCAAGCTGAGCTGCCAACAGGTGGCAGGATGGCTCAGTTAACAAATAAATAAATAAAATAAAATGCAGCTTCTCAGATGAACTAGCCTTCTCTGACTATTGAGCACTTGGGTATCTAGTGTCTCTACTGACCTGATTTTTAAGTTTTAGTTAATTTAAACTTAAATAGCCACATATGGCTAACGGCTACTATATTGGACACCACAGGTCTTGATTATTTCCTAATACACATGGATGTTTTTGTTGAAACATTTAGATCGTTAGATCTTTTCTCTTTTCATCTAGGGCAGGGGTCGGCAACCTGCGGCTCGCGAGCCACATGCGGCTCTTTGTTTACGTTCCGTCTCAAAAGTTTGCCGACCCCTGATCGAGGGCATGGCTGGACAATAGAAATATAAAGCGAGCCACATATATAATTAAAACTTTTCTAGTAGCCACATTAAAAAATGTAAAAAGACACAGGTGAAATTAATTTTAAGTCCGTATCCTCCTTAACCCAGTATACCCAAAATATCCTTTCAACATGTAATCAATATAAAGCAAGTTATTAATGAGGTATTTTCCTTTTTTGTCCATGCTTAGTCTTCCAAATCTGGTGTGCATTTTATACTACAATACATCCCAAGTTGGAGTAGCCACATTTCGGGAACTGAATGGCCACATGGGGCTCATGGCTACTGTATTAGACCTCTTAGGTCTAGGAATTCCTGCATTGTTGATAAGACTGCATCTACTTATGTGTAAAAATGAAAATAAAAATTGAATATTCATTATTTAGTACATTATTGTGAGAAAAGCACTGAAGAACATATAGGGCTATGTATTTTGTGCTAATACCAGTATAATATTTGCATGTAATATGCTAAACAAAATTTTGTATAATGCATAGATGTGAGCTTTACATCTAGAATTATAGAGGAGATTAACATAAATATGTTTTTTTTTTTTTAAACTTTTCTGGGTAACTTTTTTTCCAAGAACCTTCAGATCCAAGTCAGGTCACTGTTTTCAATCTAGTTGTGGAGGGTGCAGCTCATTGGCCCATGTGGGACTCGAACCGGCAACCTTGGTGTTACGGGCACCGCTCTAACCAGTTGAGCCAACTGGCCTCCGACCAGCAGCTCAGTTCCAAGTCAAACCGTTGTCTTCAATCTATTGGGTTGTCAGAAAAGTCATGATGCATTTTTGCAACGAAAAACATAGAAAAATACATCATGACTTTTCCGACAACCCAATAGTTGTGGAGGGCGCAGCTCACTGGCCCATGTGCGAATCGAACAGGCAACCTTGGTGTTAGGAGCCTGCACTCTAACCACCTGAGCTAACTAGTCGCCCAACATAAATATGTTTAAAGTTTTGTCATCTTAGATGCTTTAGCCTTTTTTTAATAGTGGATATAATTTTCGTGTTATCAGTGTTAAAAAAGTCTAAGCACACAGTTTTTGTAATATTTTAGAATGTAGTTTAGGAAAAATGTTTTCATTTTTATGAAATGCTAACCTAGTGGGCGCTTACATTTGTAGGAGTCTGTGTTCTCAGCTGTGGCCAAAGGCATTGTGGAGTCTTGCATGAGCGGTTACAATGGTACCATCTTCGCATAGTAAGTTATTGACTGTCCTTCTAAAGGGGAACAACGATGAGTGTTTCTGCATTTCCTATGGCTGATGTAGCAGATTACCACAAACTTAGTGGTGAAACAACACAAATTTACTATCGTACAGTTCTGTAAGTCAGAAGTCTGACACCATCTCCCTGAGCTAAAATCAAGGCGTCAGCAGGGCTGCGTTCCTTTCTGGAAACTAGGGGAAGAATCTGTTTCCTTGCCTTTTCCAGCTGCACGTGACAGGCTACCCACATTGCTTGGCTTACAGCCCCTTTCTCTGTCTTCAAAGCCAGTAGCATGCAACTCTGTCCCTTCCTTAGTCACATGGCCCTCTGACTAGAGCTGGGACAGGTTCTCTGATTTTAAGGACTTGTGTGATTAGATTGGCCCCCCCTGGATAATCAAGGTGGAGGGGATTAAACTCCACCTCCTGGAGAGGAGAATATCTACTTAATATCACAGCATGTTCTCGAATAACATCGTTTTGTTATAACATTGATGAGAGCCCATAGGAACTTAACTCTTGTTTATATCGATTAGCCTGTGGTACAGTTGGTTTTGTTATCATCAGTAGTCGCAGAACCTATTGACAGCATTAAGTGAGGACTTGCTGCATTTGGAATCTGTAAGGAAGATTTGTCTCTTCTCGATTTATTTATATATATATGGTACGGACTCATGTATGTTTATACCTTGGATTATAATCCAATACCACATTATATTTATATTGTTGAGCATATTGTCCTGACTTGGCCATTGGGATCTATTTGAGGTTGGTTTCTGTGCCCCACTGCATGTCACATCTTTTGGTGTTTTTTTTGAGCGCTTCCTTTATGATGTTACAAGATGCTCCTGGCTCATCTTATATTTTCCCTGTCTTAGGCCTAAAATCAGCCATTTCGCCACAGAGCCCTGTTTCCTTTTATTGGAGAATGGTATTTAGGATCCAAGATCTGGTCACTAGTGCATCTAGGCCTTCTCAGACAGAGCTAGGTAATATACGTATATATACTAAGTCAGGTATACAGGCGTATCTGTAATTGTTTCTGTATCTATCCATTTGTATATATATGAAACTAAACAAGAGTTCATACTGATGTTTCTGACTCTAATCCAAGGGTTTAGAATTCACATGGGTTCATTCTAGAAACCAGTGAATCTACAGGGCTCATTCTAGCCTTCCTGTTTGTTTATCTGTAACTTCCCTTGCTGAGAAACCTGACTCCCATCTCTGTCATCCAGTTATTTTATTTGTTCAACCCCAGTACACATGTAAAGCAGTTTCAGAATGGTTAGCCTGTGTTTCTATGACAAACAGATTTACCAAGTACAGTGTTTATGTACAGATCCTTTTATTTTTTTTTTAAGCCTTACCATTTCTAGTCAAAACCTCATTTTCTAAAGTTACTTAGGTCGGCTCCTTGTCCACCCACCCCATTCAGGGCATTTATGTCAGGCACTTGTAGTCCAGCTAGAAGCATTCCATCCTGGGTTCTCGGACATCCTGGCTGATGTGTTTTGCTTGTTTTTTAGTTTGATCCTTTGAAGTTCACCCTTTCTAATGCACAGTTGTGTAGGGTTTTGACAAATGCACAGAGCCGTGTATTTATCACCCCAGGACTGAAGAGAACACTTCCCACTGTTGGTGCTTTTTGTAGTCAGACACTTCCCCTTCCTCCAACCCCTAACATCCAGGGTATACTGATATATTTTTCCACTCCTGTAGTTTTGCCTTCCACAGTGTCATATGAATGGAATCATACAATATGTAGCCTTTTGGATTTGGCTTTTTTCTCTTAGCAAAATGCATTTAGGATTCATGTATGTTGTTGCAGGCATTGATTGCGTATTCTTTTTTCTTTTTTCTTTTTTAAAGATTTTTATTGGGGAATTGGGGGGATGGGAACAGAGCTGGGGAATTGGGGGAAGGGGAACAGACAAGTTGCTGTCCTTTTGTTCTTCAGTCTAGTTGTGGAGGACGTCGCTTCACTGGCCCAAGTTGGCACCATCATTGCGCTCTTCCCGGGCAAGGCAGATCAGTCGCCGGCTTCTGGACGGCTTTGAATAGTGTTTTATTGTATGGATATACCAGTTTATTTCTGTGCTACAGGATATCTTGGTTGCTTCCACTTTTTAGTGATTATGAGTAAATATTTGAATATTGGTTTTTATGTGAACATAAGTTTTCATATCACTTGAGTAAATACCTAGGAATGCAATTGCTGGGTTGTATGTTAAGTGTGATTAACTTTATCAGAAACTGCAAAACTGTCTTCCAAATGTATATTTAAAGTGAGTGATGATCCTGAGTTTCTAAACATTGGCAGCCTTTAAATATTGCTAGAGATTTAATGTTGGGATGTAAGCTGGAGGTCCAGAAAGCATTGAGACCGCGTTGGCAGTTATACAAGGTGAATTTTAGTATCATTTCAGATTTATTTCATAAATAGGAATATACTTTGTAGTGTATTTTTTTTCCTTTTCGCCCAGCAATAGACTTTTTATGAGCGTTAAAATTTCTTTAAAATTTATTTTTAATTATAGTTGATTTACATTAGTTTCAGGTGTACAACATAGTGAGTCAGCATTTATATATCTTATGAAGTGATCACAATACGTCTAGTAACCATCTGTCACCATACGTAGTTCTTACGATATAGACTGTATCCCCTATGCTGTGCGTTTCATCCCCGAGACTTACTTTATGACTGGAAGCTTGTACTTCTTAATCCCCTTCTCCTTTCCACCCATCCCTAGCAATAGACTTTTACATTTTATTTATAACTAGAGATTTTTAATAGGGTGTGGTGAATGATGTAATTTATTTTGAGCAGCTGATGCTTTTTGTGTGTGTGAGCCCTTGGTTCATCTATAGTCGGCTCCAAACACAAGAAAATAAAAAATACATTAAGAAGTTTATATATTGTACATACGTCTGTCCTTCAAAATGTGCCTTTGACTTTTATGATTATTTTTTATTTCCGTTCAGCAGAACTAAATGTTCTCTTGAGCAGTGAGGCAGGTAACTGTTTTCTCAAGAGAAAAAATATTTTTTTCACAGAATATTTTGAACGGTGAAGTTCAAAAATGAATTTGAAATAAGAGGCCCCGTTGCCAGAGATTCTATATCTTCAGAGCTGTTTTCTTTGAAGACCCTGTAGGGACACTAATTGCAATGCTTAATTTGTGGCATTCATTAATAACTTAATGAAAACTGCCTGTGGTAGTTGAGGGTAGAAATGAGAAACACTTGGAGAGAAATGAGTGCTTTATTGGTTGGGTTAGCAGACTTCTGGTTTACCTAAGACAGTCCCAATTCTAGAGGAATTGTTACTAGTGTCCCCTTTACTCTCATTAGGGGACTCAATAATACCCATTTCTTATCCTGAGTTACTAACTTTTTTTTTTTTTAAGTTTTTCGTTAACTCATTTCTCAGGATAACTGAGGAGATATGACACTACACACAAAAATTAAGCCTATAGCATAAGGATTTTAAAAAATTGCTTTATTTTTAAATGAAGATATTTTAGTATCTTTTAAAGGCAGAATTTGGGGAAGGAATTGCTGCATTATTTAGAATAGCAAAAATTAGAAACAAAAGTCCAATTTGTTCTTGCTAAATAAATTATGATACATTGAACAGCTAAAAATATAATGAAGTATTATAGATCTCTACTGACTTAGGAAAATATCTGAGGTAAAATTTAGGGAAAAAAGAGGTTGCAGAGCAGTATTTAGAGCATCGTTCCTATGTAGTAAATAAAAATTAATTGAAAACTCTGGTGGCTGTGTTTGTATAATCCAGAAGCATTTATCAGACAATCAATAGTTGGTTAGCTCTTAATGGTAGACTAAGAGAGAAAGACAATGTATCATTCTGTTTTTACCTAATATAATTCAAAAGAAAGAAAAAAAATAAGCTCTTTGTATGGAGAATTTATATACTAGTAGACCATATTAAAGTAGAAGGGTAGTCTTCTAAATTTCATGTGTGAAAATAATATATAAAACTTTATTTTTTACAGTGGACAGACTGGCTCAGGGAAAACCTTTACTATGATGGGTAAGTAAATGAAAGATTAACCCTTGCTGGCTTAATCTACTTTCTGTGATGACAGCACCTATTACATTTTTGGGGAAAGCATAATTTATATATATATATATATATATATATATATATATATATATATATATATATATATATGATGTAGAGCTCATAAAATAGGGATATTTCCCAGGCTTCTATCAAGTTGCAAGTTCCATGATAGCAAAGTCCATGTTTGTAGCCGTGTTCCCAGCTCAATGCTTAGCACAAAATAGGTGCTCAATAAATAATCTTTGAAGTGGTTTAATGGAGTTTTATATATTTACATACTTTGTAACCACTACCCAGATCCAAATTCCTGGTCAGTGACTACCCCACTCCCATCCCATGAAGTATGTATTACTCTGACTTCTCTCATTAGTTTTGCTTGTTTCTGAACTTTTACAAATGTAATTTACTGTTTGTATTCTTTTAGGTCTGGCTTCTTTCTCTCAGCATTAAGTTTCTAAGATTCCCTCATGTGTTGCTTGTAGTAGTAGTTTATTTCCATTGCTGTGTAATGTATTATATTAATGTATGACTATACCATAATTTTCCATTCTACTGTTGATAGACATTTGCATTATTTCCAGTTTGGACCATATGAATAATACTGCTGTGAACATTTTTTCTTGTATGTGGCTTTTAAAGTCTTTTCTGTTGGATATATATCTAGGAGTGGAATTGCTGGATTATAGTATATGTATTTTCAGCTTTAGTAAATAAATACTGCCAGTTTTCCAAAGTGATATATGGAAGTTTCAGTTGCTCCACATCCTTGTCCACACTTGATGTTGTCAGCTTTTAAAATTTTAGCCATTCTGGAGTGTGTGTAGTATTATCTCATTGTGTGTTTATTTGTACTTCATTGATGTCTGTTGACAGCTGAGCACCTTTCATATGCTTTTTGGACATTTGAATAGCCTCTTAGTAAAATGCCCGTTAAAGCTTTTTTCCCATTTAAAAAATTAGTTTGCCTTATTCTTACTCATTTGTGGGAATTCTTTATAAAATAGAGATATTAGCACATTGTGGTATAGATTACAGATTTTTTATTTGGCTTCTGACTTACTTATGGTTTTTTTCCTATGCTAAAGTTTTTTATTTTTATGTGGTTGAATTTCAGGGTTTTTAAAAAATAGTTTCTGAATTGTAAGTTGTAGTAACAAAGGCCTTTCCCTCTCTGAGATTATAACAAACAATCGAGTACTTACAACATACCAGACACTCTTCAAGGCTCTGGAGGTCTGCTTGAATCCAAGGCAGCGTCTGGGCTCTTGGACAGCTTATACTCTCAGGAGGAATGGACAGTTACAAGTCAACGCATATCTAGGAATTATGCCGGAGGTAGTAAGTGCTATGAACAACAACAAAAAAGGGATGGAAAGAGCAAGGGGGGTGGCTATTTTAGGTCAGTGCATGAGGAAAGGCTTCTCAGGAGATGATATTTGAATAGAATTACTACGTAGAATGAGGGTGAATCATAAAACGATCTGGGAGGAGAATCTTCCAGGCCGAGGGACTCATAGTGCACAGGCCTTGAGGTGGGAGCATGCTCAAGAGTGAGGAATGGCAAGAAGACCCATGGGGCTAGAGTGGAGTTTTCCAGAATTAGGGGCTAGTAGGAAGGGCAGTTGGAGTTATAGCCTCAGGCCAGGTCATGTAGGACCTGGCTAGGATTTTGGATTTTGTTATGAGTGTGATGTGCAGTCATTGGAAGGTTTTTGTTTTTATTTTTAGAAGAATTACGTGATCTGATGTATAATTAAAAGGATTGCTTTAGGCAGCTGAATGGCATAAAGTCAGTAGGAGGGGCTGGAGTGGAAGCAGGATTAGGAGCTAAGGCAGTAGAGTCGGCAGGAGATGGTGAAGGTAACTCAAGTGTATGTTGAATATCTTTGTATATTATTTAACAGGAAAAAATTTAAAATTATCTGCATACTCTAATATTATTAGTCCTGTTTGTTCATTTACTTGCATTTTTCTACCTCTGTTATATATGTATATATATATATTGGGTTGTCGGAGAAGCCATGATGTATTTTTTCTATGTTTTTCATTGCAAAAATGCATCATGACTTTTCCGATAGCCCAATATTTTAAAGTACAATTTATAATAACCATTTAAAATATTCCCGGTGTAGCACACCAAGGCAAAACGTTTTTCTGTACTTTCCTTGCACACACCAGCCTTTTGTTAATTTCTTTGATCTAATAAGGCATATTAAATCAATATTTATAGTAACTTCTATGTCTTCTCTAACTATATATGTTTCTGGTATGTATATAATTAGTATTCCATAAAATCCTACTATTTACTTATCCAATCACATCTCCCCTTTTCCCTAATGTTTAACAAAATAGAGATAGGACAACTTTACATTTTTCTGTCCCCGGAGAAACCTACAGTATCTTCCTTACCAGCTTGGCTTCTACTGCCTAATTTAAAAAATGTTAGCGAATACTAATTTTTAGTAATAATCTACAAGGTAGTATTACCATTATTATCCTCATTTTATAGTTAAGAAATCCAAGAGAATAAGTAATTAGCTTATGGCCACACATCCAGTGTGTACAGGTCAGTCCATGAGACTGAGTATTATATGCAGCAAGTAAAGTACAATTGTTTGGTATGTCTGCTAATTTTGCTACTTGGCAGCAGGCAGAATTTCAAGGTTGGTATCTAGATGGATTTTTTAATTAACTATTTTTTAAAAGTTGGTTAGTGGCTGTGGTGGGCCTGTCCTTCAGTCCCATTGACAGGCATGTTGTATTATGCAATATCTCACAAGCCCGCATTTAACTTGTTTGGGGGCACAGATAGGAAACTGATTATATAACATGTGATCTTTAAAAAAAAAAAGATTTTTATTGGGGGATGGGAACAGCGCTGGGGAATTGGGGGAAGGGGAAGAGACAAGTTGCTGTCCTTTTGTTCTTCAGTCTAGTTGTGGAGGATGTTGCTTCACTGGCCCAAGTTGGCACCATCAATGCGCTCTTCCCGGGCGAGGTAGATCAGTCGCTGGCTTCTGGACCGCCACTCACGGCGGCTGCTGGCCGCTCACACTGGCTGCTGGCTACACGTGGTAGCCCATGGCAACCCACTGCCACAGGGGCTGCAGCCTACACTGTCGCCGGCGACTCACGGCAGCCCAGCTCCAGGTTGAGCTATTGTTCAGCATCTTAGCTGTAGAGGGCAGTGTCACTGGCCCTCATATGTGGGATCCAAAACGGGGGCCCTCTGGCGTCCCAAGCCAGCTGTTAACCATTGTGCCACTGGGCCGGCCCTATAATGTGTGATCTTATTTCTGTATAAATTGCCTTTCAGTGTTGCCGTTTTAAAAGACTCCTGTAATAAAAACAAAAATTAACAGCTGTATATTTTATGTTTTTTTAGGACCATCTGAATCTGATAATTTTTCTCATAACCTGAGAGGAGTAATCCCACGAAGTTTTGAATATTTGTTTTCCTTAATTGATCGTGAAAAAGATAAGGTAAAACTTACTGTAAAAATAAAGCAATTCTGTGAAATATCTAGTTTTGAGTAGTTAGCTCCTAATAATTAGCTCATGATACATGGAGGGGTTGTACTTTACAATGTGGATAGGCTTAGCATAGTATAAAAAAAACTTGGAATTCTTAAGCTAAAATTAAGGATTTCGAGTTTTTTTATTTTCTAAAAGTTTTTAGTTTATAAAACTTGCGTCATCCATGAACTCAGATTGCTGGTTTAAAAGAAAGAAGAATGTAGTGCTTCTTAGGCTTTCAGATTTTGCAAGAGAAAAAGTGTAAAGAAAATCTTAACCAAGGAAAACATTCACTAAGCTCCATCACCCCCTGTATCACTAAGCTCCACCACCCCCTGTGCTGAGGCTCACAGTTGACTGCAGGTGTTGGTAGATCCTCCTGATGTCTAGTAGTGATGGGCCCATTGTTAACCTTTTTTGTTTCACCTGCTACCACCTGACTTGTGATCGCCTTCCTTGTTCCACACATGGTGTGGCTTCATCATCTGGGGCTGTGGGCATCTCTCTTCCATTGGCTCCCAGGTTGGGCCATTCTCACGACTGTGCTTCTCTAGTTTGCTAAATTCCAGGCTTAAGAGCCCTCGGTGTTCTGTGTTCTATTACGTGTATACCAAGGACACTGATACATATATTGGTTTGCCACTTACTCCTTTGCGGAAACTATCCCTAACTCTTGCGTTAGACACGCACTTTGCATGCCAGTGAAATGTTTAGTGCCATTCATTTCTGTCCATAAAATTCTACAGGGAGGCTTTTAAAATAAATTATTTTTGATCTTTTAAAAAAGAATATAACACTTGCTTCAAATATAACTTCATGAGGAAGTCCAACATAGAAAACAGATGGATTGCCCATCTGGACTGCTCAGTTGCCATCTACCTGTCTGGTTCTCATCACTTCTGGGAACTTGAGGGATCCTGGGACCACAGTGATGCTGCTTTAAAATATAATGATGTGTTGAAACTAGTTAGATTTTTTAACTGATGTCTAAGTATCTTGTATAGGGTAAAGGATAATAGTTAGGAATTTACACTTGTGAAGCAAGTGAAAGATTAATGCTCATGAAAGATAGGGATGAATGCATGAAAATAATATTATCTAAATGAGTCTTCTCTTACAGGCTGGAGCTGGAAAGAGCTTCCTTTGTAAGTGTTCCTTTATTGAAATCTACAACGAGCAGATCTATGACCTTCTGGACTCTGCATCAGCTGGACTGTACTTAAGGGAGCATATCAAGAAGGGCGTCTTTGTTGTTGGTGCGGTGGAGCAGGTGGTGACCTCGGCTGCCGAAGCCTATCAGGTACCTGCCTTCAGCATTCTGATCCTTAGATACCGTAGCGTGCTGTGAAAAGCACCTCGATCTCAACAAAAGAATGGAGCCACTAAAAATACTTTGTAAAGGCATAATCCAGAATGTCCATGAGAAGAAAAGAAAAAAGAATATGACAGTGTTTTATTGCTCTTCCCTTAGTTAAAATAGAACTTTGAGCTTCTTGATTTGGCACTATTTTAGTGCTATTCACTCCAATCAGGCACTATTAAAAACCACCCTGGAGGTCATGGCAGGAACAGTTCATAGTGTCCATAGCTCTTTAGTGGCTCCTCCTGGGAGTTGATCCTTTGAGGAGCTCCTGGGGCCTCTGCTGTCTAAACTAGCTGTACATATTATGACCTTGCTATTCAAAATGTCGTTCTCAGACTATCGGTATCACCTGGGAGCTGGTTACAAATGCAAATCTCAGGCCCTACCTCATACCTACTAAATCAGAATCTGAATTTTAACAAGATCCCTAGGTGATTAGTATGCATATTACAGTTTGAGGTGTTCTGCCCTATGGGGTAGGTACTCATGTCTCCATTTTACAAATATGAGCTTTGAACAGGTTCGACTGGCACCAGACCACACAACTAATGAACAGTAGAAGCAGGAGTTGACCTCATGTTCATCTGATTCCAGAGCCTGCAGTCTGAATCTTCATGTACCCTGCTTCCATAGGGCATAGGGAGGGAGAACAAATACTTTATAGACCGAAAGAGCTGACAAAACGTGAAGGTCATTTTGAGATTTATCTTTCTAGCTTTCTCATTGTCTAGGTAAAGAAAGGGTTGGGAGAGATTTTGTGACTTGCCTTAACACAGAGAATGACAAAACCAGTTCTAGATCCTATGCCTTTTGATTTCCTGTTTGTTCTCTTTCCATAACACGGAGAAGGAGAGGGAAAGGAAAATACTTTGAGTATATTCCTTGATGGACCAATATTTTTTCTCACAACGGTTCACAAATTTCCTACTGATGTTAGTAGCTGTTGTGGCCACCTGGACTTTGTGATGACATGTTTTCCTTTTGCCTAGGTGCTGTCTGGAGGATGGAGAAACAGACGTGTGGCATCAACATCAATGAACAGAGAATCTTCTAGGTCTCATGCCGTCTTTACAATTACAGTAGAGTCAATGGAGAAAAGCAATGAGACTGTGAATATACGGACCTCCTTACTCAATCTGGTGGATTTAGCAGGATCTGAACGGCAAAAAGACACCCATGCAGAAGGGATGAGGTTGAAGGTAAGAATGGAATTTAGGTCTTCAGTTGAACTTGCATGTGAATTCTTACCAGAATTCAATACCAAGCCAAGTGTTGTGAGAGCTACAAAGGACTAGGAAATTGTTCCCATCTGAAAGATATAGAAATTTTTGTTGGGGGTAGGGATGCTAAACATACATGGGATAGGAAAAGTCTGTCTGTAGCAAGGGTATTTGAATTCATGCTAGAGGGGATGGGGTGATAGTACAAGTGGCAGCAGGGATCAGAGGAACAAGGGTGTGACATGGACTGCTCAGTTTGAGTTTTCTCAAAGGGGGCAGGTTTGGGTAGGGAGAGAGGAACAGAGACCCCATGCATAGCAGGGGGCATCTTAAGGATTATTGTGGATGCAAAGTGAGTGGCATTTGGCATCTCAGCACAGATAAGTGGGTGGGCTGGGTTGGAGGCGCAAGTAGGCTGAGATCATTGAGGGCCGAGACTGCCAGGCCAAGTTTGCTCTCCACCTGCCAGACACTGGGAAGCAAAAATTTTTAGGGACTTTGGGCAGAAAGTCTGTTTTAGAAGAGCTTAGCCATCTGGCCCACCACTGCCAGATTCATGAGCGGAGGGCCTAAAGAGAAAGGAGAGCACTTGTGCTTTTTAATATTTCAGGGGTGAGGGTTAAGGACCTAGTTCTAGGCTAGGGTATTCACAGTGGGGCCAGCGGCTCTTGTAATATACGTACTGCCAGTATGTGTGTGTGTGTATTATAATATGTGTATATGTGGATTCTATAGCATATGTGAGGGCGGGGGGCGAACAGTCGGAAATGGTGGAGGAGAGTCTACTTTTGCATTAAAAGCAAGGGTTTTATCTCTCAGGCAATCTCAGGCTCGTGTTTCTATTGAGACATGAAGCAAAGAAAAATAGCATGTGTTTATAATAGGACACATGCCAGGTCTGTTTTGAATGCTTTATATATATTAACTCATTTAACCTTTCCAACAACTGTGGGGAGTAGGTACTATTATCCTTTATTTTAAAGTAAATGCCCTGGTGCACACGGCTAAGAGTAGAGCTGAGATTCAGACAGTATGTGTCATTCAGCACCACAGACAGCGCTCCAGCCTCCTGATTTACTGAATGGTGTGGTAAAGCAGGTGGTGGCAGCCCGGAACTCAGTGCACCTTGCTTTCTGATTCCCACTTTCTCTCTCTTTTTCAAAGATCTAATTGGCTTTATTGAATGATTCATGAATTGAGCAGCATCCCATCTAGTAAACAGAAAGGTGCTCCTATCCGTTCTCTTTTTTTCTATGCTCCCTCCACTGAAGACCCAGATATGCTCCTGTAGTAAAAATCCAGTGTGACACATGTAACCTGAGAATTTTTTCTCCCAAAACCACTTTTTAAAAGGGTTTTTATTATACTTTACAGAATTAGACTGAATGTTATTTTTGTAGTAAGCCTATAAGTGACTTTGTGGGACACGGGGGTGAGTTATGAGGTATCACCTCCTTATAATGTAGCAAACATTTTAACATAAAAGTATTGAAAAATATGTCTACTAATGTAGTACTCCAACTTTTTTCTG